AATGTATGGTCATGGCGTTGCGTCTTACTTCACCACACAGCAACGCCCACATGCTCCCCCGAAAACTGTCAGTGTTGGAAAGCAAGTTACACCAACCTGTCTTCAGTCACCGGACACACTATCCTGTTGATTAGGTCACAGGGGTCAGATAGGGACCATTCAACGTAAAACTTTACACTTCCTGTTCTCAGTGGGCGTGGCTTGCAGGGGACGGGATGTGGATCAGTCACTGAAGGTTTGATGTCTCAGTTTTCTTGTAGGAGCTATTAGTGTTTCGTTTTTCATGGCGAAATGTCCAATTTTGAGGTCTGGCCCCGCCCCTTCAGTATGATCGAAAACGCACCGTTTTGATAAGTTTTTGTTTCCCATGTCTTATGAACAAAATGGTCAAGTTTGAAACCGATTGAGTGAAATCCTTAGGAGTTTGCTCAAATGTGTAGGCTGTAAACCTCAAAAAAGGTGTGAAATTTGGGACATCGATCAAATATGGCCGCCTTCCTGTTTATTGTACAGCATTGGTGTTAGAGGGTTTTCTGTGTATCTTGGTGAGTTGGACACGTGTACCAAATTTCATGCTTGCATGACAAAGTGTGGTTAATGCGGAGGGTATTTTGAAAATTTCCAGGTGGCGCTGTTCAGCTGTTTCTGTTGTGGTTTTTGTGACGCCCTTAAAATATGTAATTTTCAAGCAGTCCTGATGCGTCCACCAAAATGGGCGAGTTTTCAGATATGTTTAGGCCTCCAAAAGGCCAATTAATTTGACGGAAAAATTGCTCCTTGGGCCTTATGAACAGAACGATTACAATAAGGCCCATCGCTTGCAGCGCTTCGCTGCTCGGGCCTGATTATTTCTATCTTAACTTGTGTTTTTTGTCTTTCCTCCTATAGAAAATACACTTGGACTTGCCATTTTATGTTTGTCTGTTTCTACTTCCTGTCCTCTCTCTGCAAAACTGGTTGAAGCAGATGTCTGCTCATCCTGAGCCTGGTTCTGCTGGAGGTTTCTTCCTGTTAAAAAGGAGTTTTTCACTTTCCACTGTTGCCACTGTACTTGCTCAGGATGGGAGACTGCGACAAAGTGAGATTCAACGCGTTTGCTAGCTTTCTTAGAGAACTTTACTAATTGGCTTTTTATGTATGTGAATGTTTCTGTACAGTGCCCTGAGAGAACTTCTGTTGTGACTTGGCACTATATAATAATAATAATAATAATGTCATCACAATGTCAGCACTGTATGTTTCCATACAATGGCGAAATTAGTCTCTGCATTTAACCCATCCACCACCAGGTGGTGCAGTGGGCAGCTATTGAAAGCGCCCGGGAGGCTTTTTGGGGATTAGACGTGCTGCCCATAGAATAAATGAAGTGAATTGAAATCTCTTTTCTAAAACATGTGATTGAAGCTTGGTTAAAAATTATTTTATTTTTTGCAGTATACAACCATCAAACACCACTTTTGACTGTAAAGGCCTCTAGAGGAAACATCAAGCAATTACTGGTAATGCACAAGGTTTGTTGGCAACTATTTGAACCATCTGAAGAATAAACCACATCTGATCTGATTAAATCAAACCAAAACATTCACACAACCACTGATAAACATGAAATAACCAGAGAGGTGATTTGCATACTTTTGTAGGAAAAAAGTGTATTTGCATAAACTTACTCATATGGGATAACAGCTGTTGTTTAGGCATATTGTTTTCTTAAGCCTGAACTAATCAGTATTTTGATGCATTGAATCTATTCAGTGAAAATAAAAAAATGTGTCAACCAATCACCATAAAACAGACTTGTTTTGGTTTTCTGTTCAACAGATGTAAAATGTGCTAAAATAACTTTTGTAATAGAAAGTTGGTATATCAAATACTAAAATTATCAAACAGCTGGTGAAAACAGACAATATTTGAATGTTAAGTCCATTTGAATTGCCCCCCAAATGGGATTGTCTATAAACTGACTCTGAGTTAAATGCTCACATTAGTCATCCCCACCACCATTCAAATTTTGATAAAAAATTGTTTCATACCACTGCTGAAAGATGAATGTTTTTACAAAAAAAATAAAATTCAAGTAATGCAGCTTGAGTAAAATGCAACCCTGAGTTCTAACCTGAAATTTGATGCCTTCGGGATATGTCTCAAACATTTTGAGGTGGGTTCTGTGGAAAGGCAACGAGTATTTGTGTCATAGCTCTTTGAACCGACTCAGTTTGGAGAAGCAGAGTTTCGTTCTGAATGGATCAACGAGCTAATGACTAGTCCGAGTGCAACCAAGACCAAAGTGAATCACTGCTGTGTTAAAACAGCTCCAGTCTAAAATTAATTCTGACATGAAATGCAGCTTCAGAGTAGGGGTGTCCCAATACTATTTTTTTCTCAGACCAAGTACAAGTACCTCAGATTAGGTACCAATACTGAGTACTGATACCAAGTAGCTAATGAGTTAATACTTAAACATTACACAATAACAATTTCTAAATTAAGGACATATTTTATTTTTTGTCTTCGGTTATTTGCAAAGTGGAAGAGGAAATTATGTCTCCAAACATAACAGTAGTATTGGTCTAAAGTATCAGGGTGTTTTATGAGTACAAGTACGAGCACTGAGGCTGGAATCTGGCCCAATACCAGTATCAATATTGGGACACTGTTACTTCAAAGGTCAATCATTAACAGTGCAGTTCATGATTCAATGATCGATTTTTGTTTTATTTTATTCCTGACGAGTTTCCACCAAAATTCTGCTAAAAATGATGGCTATTATGCCAGCGTGTGACATAAAGAAAAATCTGTGAAAAATTCAAAGTAAATCTGCAGTTAGCACATGCATTAACAGTACTTAGTGCTGCTTTTGGATTATTGGAAAAAGGGACCACAAATAGGACTGTAAAAATAGTCTTTATGAGCACTTATGGCTCTGCCTTGCTCAGACTAGATTTAGCTTATCAACCCAGTCATGTTTAAAACGTAACAACAGGTCATTCCTAACCTTTCCAGATATTTCCAGGGAAGCCCACTTTACTCAGTATGAACCATCACATTCAGTCGCAAATGGAACAGAGTTAAATATCTCATGAAGGAAAATGCACAAAGACGTGGAACATGCAGTCCAGCTTACATGCAGCTGAGTGTTCAGTCAGTTATAAAGCACAAAAATATATATAGTTTTTAATTCTCATTACTGCACTTTAAATAATGTATGATACACCAACAAAAAAGAGTTGTGGTCATTTAAACGGTCGTATCCTCTAGAGAAAAGTTCACTGATGCATTCCTGTGCACATCAACATCAGTTTCTTCCTTCAGCTTTTCCTAAGTCTGAAGCCTCAGACTAACTAGTTAGCCTAACATCAGCCGAGCATCACTTAAAAAGAGCCACACACCAATAACGGTCTTTGACAACTTGGCTTTCAGTTTTCTCTACAACCCCTCCATCCATTAAATTTTTTACCCACTTATTTTGTGCAGGCAAGCTGGCGTCTTTCTCCAGCAGAAAGGTTAGACCCAGTGTACCCAGGTAAAACCCAGTGTATGGCTTTTCTCCACATTGTTACATTACACATAAGTTTGCAGCACTGAGCAACTTTAAATGCATATTTATGCTCTTAGCAGTCTCAAAACTTTTTTTTTTTTTTTTCAAATGAGAAGTCTTTGTAACATCTCTGTCCTAATATAAGAGAGGAGTTGGTATCAATTTAAAAGGCAAGTAGAAACACACCACCTCCGATAGTACAAACATGTTTTCTTACCGAAAAATCAATTGAGTTCAACGGGAAACTTTATAAAGACTATCCAAATTGGAATTACAGTAAAAAGTGACATTTAAAAGATGTGTTTACATATATTTTGTGCTACAATTCTGTAACTAATTTAAACGTTTTAATGTCTTAACATGTCAGTTCTTTGTATTTTAGTCAACCAAAAAATACTCATGTTCAGTATATTATAATAACAAGCTCAAAATAAGGTCAGGCTGGTTGCATTCATTCATTTAAAAAATAAATACAATCGCAGAACATAATACAGCTCACATACATAGTGTTTACTAAAAATGTACCTAGTACTGTATGTACATGAAACTCACCAGTATGTACCTGGTACTTACCCAGAACATTCCTGGTAAGTATATATTAACCCAATAAATACATGGTTACATACCAGGTACATATGTACCTGGTACTAACCCAGTACATCAGTACATAAATAGTACATACATGACACTTACCCAGCATGTTCCTGGTACTTACAAAGTACGTGCCTTTTATTTACTGGGTGTGTACTTATATGTACTAGTTTTGTACCTGGTGTATATCTGGTACTTAGTGAGTAGATTTGATGATATAAATAACTGGTTTGGGTTGGATTATCTTGTTCATAATTTTTAAAATAAAAAAGGGGAATCAATAAATAAACCAATATTTACTGTAAATGTACCTAGTAAATATGTGACTGCATTATATACTGCACCCAACAAAAGCAGTAGAATATTTTTAGATTATGGATTTTTTTTCCTTAATTAAAATGAGCAGAATTTCCACCAAATGTAAAAATTGACTCAAACATCTGACTGATCATTATGAAGTGTCTATCTGTAAGTCAGTTCTTAATCCATGAGGTATTCATATTTGTAATTTCACACGAGAAGTGAGCTTAATTCTGTTGCAGCACCTCAGAGCAAATGGCAAACATTACTGTCGAGATGAAATACTAAGCTGACTGATGAGCTGGCAGGTGGTTTAATGTTGGACAGATATGTTTGATAGAGATGTGAGTCTTTACATCACAACCAGCATTAAAAAATTTGAATAAGGCAACATTATCATATGGTGTATATCCTGCATCAAAGTGTACCATTTGCTGAATTTACTGTACATTACAAATCATTGTCTGTTCGTAGCTAAAGAGAACCAAGGATGGTCGGAGTTGATGGCTTGTTTTGTTCTCCCATGACTCCATTAATGGATGCACTTTTGGTTTTGGAAATTGAATGATGGGGCGTTCCTCCTAGTTATTAGCATTTTGTATGTTTAGCCGCAGTATCAGAAGGAAGTCTTTGGAGAGGAGATTTAGAAGTAACTGCAGCAGCCTGACTTCTCCTTCTGTGCCTCGATATACTCGTGAATCTGGAACTTGGGTTCATTGGGGTGCTGGACCGCCCGGTGCTTCAAATCCCTGTAAAGCACAAATAGAAATTGCACAGTAAAAAAACAAACAAAACCCCCCCCCAAAAAAAACAGTAGTATACATATCATACTGTAGCTTTTGAAGGACTTGGAGGACATTATAATTAATGTGTATGTCCCAATTAATAGACATGATTTGCAAAAGTTTAACTAGAAAAACTACATCACACAAGTCTGCATTCTTTGCACAAAGTCCAGCTGGTGTGAATTGGACTACACCATGGCTGTATTTTGTTTCTGATTCAGGACCTCAAGATGCAGGCATTGAGAGGAGTATGTCTGGTTTGATTACCTCAAGGTCTTATAATGTAGTTCTATTGGTCTTTTCAGGCCATGACCTTCAGAATTCACAGAGAGTTTGAGTTTGAAGCAGCCTTCAAGAACTTAATCAGGTCAGAGGTAAGTCTTTGTCTTAAGTGTAAATGTCCAGTTATTCGGCAGTCTTGTTCATAAGTGATGTTATGGTGGAGCAGGATATGGACCAACAGTTCAGGTCTTCCTCTGCTGTAATGAGAATGTTGCTCCCGTCGGGTGTGATGAAAAACAAAAGCAGAACTGAGAGGCAAAGCTCATGATTGACTAGTCTGTCTACATTCCAACCCTCACCTTTCAAATCGGCGGCTGCGGCTGAGTGGTTAGAGCAGTCGTTCTCCAATATGAGAGTTGGGGGTTCGAATCCACCAGCAGTCACATGCCGAAGTGTGCCTGGGCTGAACCCCTCATAGCCTCTGATGTGTGTCCCATCAGTGTATGAATGTGAGTTAAAGCACTGATTAGTCTCATTAGAATGATTTGTTCAATTAGCTTTGTAGAGATCTAGTAGAGTGCTGTGTGAATGGGTAAATGAGGACACAGATTGTAATGTAAAGTGCTTTGTGTATCTTGAAATAAGATAGAAAGGAGCTATACAAGTACAGTCCATTTACCATTTACCTTTGGTCATGAGGTTTGAATCCTGACCAAAAGAACAATAAACTGGATACAAGTGGGTGAAAAGTTTTTTTAATAGGGGACCAGCGGGTGTTTTCTAACTAAAATGGCCTTAGCCTCCCTGAGAAACTATATGTTGGGAAATTTCTTTATGTGTTTTGTAGACTTAGAACAGGCTTTGGATTAGTTCAGATTATTGTGGATGATATGGTCCTGTTCATCTCAAGTCAGGATCTCTACTGGAGACCAGGGCTTAATTTAAGCCAGATCCTGCCAGAACAAGATCTGGGAAATCTTTCATTTTGACCGTGTGCATTCCGGCAACTGTTTGCTCAGATCTAGCAACTCAAATCTCCGCCCCTAAAAGTCCTAAGTCATTGCGCATTTTTATTTAGATTATTTATCAAAAATACAATGAGAGGAGACGTTGCCTTTGGTCTGGCAGACCCAGTATGTGGAGTGGATGTTCCGGCGCAACACGCGCACACGCTACTGTCCAGCAGAGACATGGATGGCATGTCCTGCAGACAGTGCACGTTGCACGTCTACAGACGCTACAGAGCGCACACAACTGCTGATGTGTCAGAACTAACGCATACATTTCACACATAATAAATAAAAAAACTTATAGTAAAAAAATACGAGAAAAATGTTTTATGTGTGTGTGATTATTCCTATTAATCATGTATCAAAATAACGGCGCTAATTTTTCAGAATAACAGCGATCAAAATGTCGAAAAGACAGTCCAGTTTACTTTCATAAAATAAATGGATGGATTGTCCTTAGTTGGACAACCGAGAAGGAAGTTGTAATTGAGATTGGAACAGCAGGAGAAACAACACACAGGAATGAATTCAGCGGTGAAGAGTTCGGCTCAGAAACATGAAGTGTGTGTGTGTGTGCGTGTGTGTGTGTGTGTGGGGTAATGTGGGGGTGGGGGTGGGGTTAGGACGCTTGACAGAAGCGAACCTGCTCTATTCACACACAACCTGTCGTTGCTCTCTAAAATAGTAACTCAATTAAGTGTTTACAAATGTAGATAAATGCAGATGTTTAACAACCCATTAAAATAGGCTACACCAAAATGCAGGAAAAAAGCATTTACTGTATTATATTAGCTGGAAAGAAGCAGACAAGCAGAGCTGCGGAGAAGGGAGGAGCACAGGAGGAGCAGATAAATGAGCAGGCAATGAAAGACAAGTCTCATGACTTTTATAACAGTGACCCACTGGAGAGCGCACAGCCTACCATACCATACCAATTTATTTATAGAGCAAAACAGCAACAAGGCTAACCAGTGCTGTACAATAAAAACAAACAAGCACAGAGGACAGAAAAACATAAAAATAAAGATACAAATAGCAGCAGATAATAACTAAATGGCCAACTCTGTAGACTACAGACTGGATCAAATCACAGCATTTCAAAGGCAATGGAATAAAAGTGGGTTTTCAGGTGAGACTTAAAGACTGTGAGTGTGGGAGCCTGCCTGACACGCAGTGGCAACTCATTCCACAGTCTTGGACCTGCAACAGAGAAAGCCCTGTCACCTCTGAGCTTGCGACGGGTTTCTGGAACTGAAAGGAGCATCTGGTCTGCTGACCAGAAAGCGCAGTGGGACATATGACTGCAGAAGATCAGTGAGATAAGATGGAGCAGAACTGTTCAGTGATTTAAAAACATACTTGAGTATTTTGAACTGGATCCAAAGGTGAATGGGTAGCCAGTGCAGGGAGGCCAGAACTGATGTAATGTTCTCTATGACCTGCACCGGTTAAAAATCGGGCTGCAGCATTTTGGACCCGTTGTAGTTGTACAATGGAGGACTGATTGATTCCAAACAGATGCACATTGTAGTAATCGAGCCTGGATGTTATGAACGCATGGATCACTGTCTCAAGATTCTTTTTGGACAATATGGGCTTCAGCTTAGACAGACAGAATTTAGTTTGCTTTTTAAACATGTTGAATCTGGTTACAGACTTTATGGTGACAGGGAGTGAGTTCCAATGGCAGATCCTCTCACAGAGAGAGCACTTTGAGCAAAAGTGGTTCTACGGAAAGGAACCTTGCAGTCAACATTTAAAGCCGCTCTGGTAGATCTGCTGTAGCCCTGCAGTTTCTGTATACAATTGCTTAATGGCTTGGGTCAGTCCTTCTCAAATAGTGGGGTGCGACCCCCTGGGGGGGCCCAGGACAATGCCAGGGGTAGTGCATGTAAGCCCAAGAAAACATGTTTTTTTTGCCGCAGGAAGTAGTTTTTTTTTTCACCATTCTCATTTTGTCGTGTGCATTCCTAATAATAAAGTTATGAACAAATATGGCTGCCTTGTCGTTTTGGAGCCATGCATGAACCGTGTCTCTCCCCTCTGCTGCTGACATGATAAATAAACTCCGACCATCACCTCCTCCGTTCTCCACTGCTGTTTTTATGTCCATGCGCTCTGGATGTCACTCACAGTGCACATGCAACAAAGAGTAAACTCAAGCGAGAGCGACACCTGCCCCCTCTTTACTCTTTCGCGTTGACAAAATGTTTTAGTTTTATCAATAAGTTTGTCAAAGCACAATTGACAGAAGTAATGTTTAATAAATGTTAGGACTCTATTCTTTGCTAACAAAATTAATTCACCTCCTCAGTTAAGCTGCTGGTTTTTTTTTGGTTTTTTTTTGGATGCTCTGGACATTTGTCACCCACAGCTCGCATGCAACAAAGAGTAAACTCAAAGTGAGAGAGACACCTGCCCCTTCTTTCTTCTTTCATGTTGACAATTTTTTTTGTTTTATCGATGAGTGTGCTCATTGATCCTGACTTCCTAATTTTGATTTTTTTTTAAATCTGCATAAATTATGTTATTCATTTTTGTTTTGTAGGGCAAAGTGTTTTGTATAACACTCCTGAGTTAAAAATGTTGCTGATCAATTGGAATTTATTATTATTTATTGATTATATTTAATTTTATTTTTCAGTATCAAATGGTCCAAAATCTTTACAGTTTAAAAAATGAAATTTTTTTTTTTCAGGCAAATTGATGCGCTTTAAGTTGTTTCTGTTACAGACTAAAAAAAAAGTTAATAAAGTTATTCTTTGTTGTAAGTTGATCTATATTCTTTTTTTTTTCTTTAATGTTAATAAGGACACAATGTTAGTCAGATGTGTACTTATAACAATTTTATAGACATACCATTTACAGTCGCGGCGGAGAGTTGGGGGTCGGGGGGGGGGGGGGGCGGCATAACAGAAAATAATTGAGAAGCACTGGCCATGTCCATTTAAGCATCTGAAGATCAATTTAAAAAATTGTAATTCATAAAATTGGAAAATTCTAAAATACCGAACTTAGCAAAAATATTACAGTGATGAAATCTGATTGGCTTTTGGTATAGAACCTTCAAGGCCTGATTGTAAAGACTTTCCAATGGTTTAGGTGTAGTTTGGTGAGTCTGTGACCAGACAGTAGCTTCATAAGATAAACGTGAGAGAATCACTGAGTTGAACAACTTCTCTGCACAATGAAGTGTCACCGATTATGTTCATAACTTTTATGGACAGAATTTATAGGCACAGCCAAGGTGTTGAGGAGATCTATTTTGGTGGCGTTAGGATCACGTCTCTGCATTTTGCAAATGATGTGGTCCTATTGGCTTCATCAGGTCGTGAGCTACAGCTTTCGCTGGAGCAGTTTACAGCCGAGTGTGACGTGGCCGGGATGAGGATCAGTTCTGCCAAATCTGAGGCCATAGTCTTGAGCCGGAAAAAGATAGATTGCCCTCTCTGGGTTGGAGAGGAGGTCCTGCTCTAAGTGGCAGAGTTTAAGTATCTTGGGTTATTGTTCACTAATGAGGGAAAAATGGAGCGAGAGATCGACAGGCGGATAGGTGCGGCGTCTGCAGTGAAGCGAGCATTGTACCAGTCTGTCATGGTAAAGAGAGAGCTGAGTCAAAAGGCGAAGCTCTCAATTTACCGGTTGATCTACATTCCTACCCTCATCTATGGTTAGGATGCCTCCACGGTGAGGTGTTCTGGACATGTCCCACTGGGAGGAGACCCAGACAAA